CTTTTTTAAAAAATTTGCATCTGTCATTTTTTCACAAATCGAGCATTTACCGGAAAAACGACCGGACTTCATGTAAAAAACCGGTAATCATGTACCTTGTGATCCATGCGGCCCTATAATGCATTCATCCTAACTGACGTCCTTTCTCCTACATGTCGGAAGAAGTCAAAGCACAGTGTATCTAGAAATACAACAGCAGCATACAGCAGGCTGTTTCTGCTGTGCTAGATGCACGTAATAGTCGTAGGCACTAGAAGTGAGGGAAAGACTAGAAAAGCTAAAATCGCCCTTCCTGCCCCCGCTCTCGCGACTTGCACCATGCTTTACCGCACCACGTCCAACAGCACTCTTCACAACGTAAACCCTGTTCAAACCGAACAAACAACCGCACAGGTGAATAAACGAAAGAATACAACGAACAAACGGATTCCACCATTCAAACAAAATAAACGAGCACGACCGTGCTAAGCAAACGCAAATGTTACGTGAGGGAAACGCAGTGATCGACCGAGCACTGATTTACAATATACTGCCATGCCGGCATTCCCGGCATTTTGAATGCCAGAATTTATCGCATGCACAACTGCTTGTATGCATTAAGCTCATAAACCTCTTACGCGCAGCTGATCTTTTTTTTTCTTCAAAGTAATCTAAACTAAGAACTCGGGCTTCACTGTACGTTGCGCTGTCCAGAGTTACGTCACTTTCCGGGCTATACGTAATTGGCACATTCATCACGCCTCACGAGTCGCATTCAAATGCGAGTTGAACTGAGGCGACAGGAGCACTACTTACTTCAGCCCCACTTCAAATTTCTTCGAACAGAAGGCTCCGCCCTCTAGATTGTATATCACAATATGCAGAGCACTGCGGCCAGATAACACAGTAGCACTAAAAATCCGCAAGAAACTGTGCAAAAACGCATGATCGCACCGGCTCGCCTGGTGCGTTCCAGTCTGGGTTATTATATGAGGATCACAAGAAACTTTCGACTCAGTGGAACGTAGTGCTGTACTGTAAGCGCGCCCAAATTAACATATTGATCAGGTATATAAAAGAATAAGACTCTCTCACCGCGTTGTACACAGAATTCATTCTGCAATGGATCCGTGAATACTAGAACTGATAGTGGTGCAATGCAGGGCGACCTCTGCTCTTTAGACGCCTTTTCTGGCTCAGTTCAAAACGTCAGAAGGGAAGGTGAATTAACAGACGGCTTCTGTGTCGACACCGAGATATTATAAATGCTCACTTTCGAAGAAAACATTGTGCGTATCGAAGAAAACTCAGAACTGTATGTGCAGCATGCGACCAATAAGAAGTATGTTGCACCCAAAATCTATAAAGGGAAAAAAGGAGGATGAAGAATGTCTCAGTTTGACATGATACTTGAGAATTAGCCCACTGAGCTAATGCAGAGCTACATCAACTTGGGACAAACAGTACGGATGAATAACGAGTTAGGCTGGCAATTACAATGAAAAGAGAATGCACCGCGATCATCCTGTCACGAAAGGTCTTTTCCATCCCTAGCATAGCATCAAGGTTAAAAGCTACCCTTTTCAGTCCATTAAGTTACAGCTGCAATGTACAGAACTGGAATATGAAACTTGGCACATCAAGCTTACTGAAAAGAAAAAATTTACAGTAATCCAACGAGCCATGAAACGATGCAAAGTAGGTGTTGTATCACATCTTCATTAAAATACTACACATCAGTTTCTTGTGAAAGATATAATTAAGACAAGTTCCTAGCTGCATCAGCGACAGAAATGGGACGTTAAAACAGCAGAACAAAAAAAAAAAAACTAAATATGTTCAAACATAACGCGGAAGAACATTATATACGATGCCATACATGTAAATAGCCATAAATAACCACCACTATTTCTGCTTCATTGTCTAAATCTTGATATTTTGAACAGCGCTGCATTTCCCCGTGATCAAACTGTTGGTGGACCCAACACTTCTTTTATTTCTTAGAGAAATTATCAGTTCAACGGACTTGTGAAAAAAGCAACTAGCAAAACTTTTCCAGTTTTGAGATATTTTTTTCACTACTTTGTCTTGGACGTTACCAATCCTATAGAACGATGAGGTACATGAAGGACAGTACACGTATATATATATATATATATATATACGTGTACTGTCCTTCATGTAC